ATGCCCAGTCTCAATCACTATCTCAGGGACAGGGTTGGCAAGGCACATAGGGGATCGAACCCCAGCTGCTGCACTCTGCCTAAGTGGGTGCTTTAGTCCACTGAGCTATTTGGCTGCCCTATTTGTTTTTTATGAGTTAAATGAATTCTTTATTATACTTATAAGTCCCTTACCAAATGATATGTGCAGTTTCTTTTATTCTTTGGTTTGTCTTTTCACTCTCTAGTGCTGTTTGTTTGTTTATGTATTTAGGTACTGGGAATCGAACTCAGGACCTTGCAATTTCCAGGCAGGCATTTATGCCACTGAGCTATCTCCCCAGTACTCTAGCATTTTTAAAAACAAACTAGTTCTCTTTGAAGTCCAGTTTATTTTTTCTTCTGTTGAATGTGTATTTGGTATCATGTCTAAATTGTCATAGAAGAATTGAACTCATAAAGATTTACTTTTAAGGTTTTCTAATTTCATGAGTTTTGTAGTTTAACCTCCTATGTTCAGATATTTGGTCCATTTTACACTAATTTTCATATTTCCCAAATTAACAATCATGCTTCATTCTGTAGCATGTAGCTATCTATTGTGCCAGCACTATTTGTTGGAATGACCAGTCCTTTCCTATCTTGGTATCTTTCTCAAAAACATCAACTGACCATTCAGTTGAAGGAATAGGAGTACATTTCATTACCAATAGCAGTTAATTTCCTAGTAGGCTAAATTCTGTTCCCTTGATCTGTGTATCTGTCTTTATGATAATACTGTGCTATCTTCACTACTTTGTCTCTTTGGAATAGTTTTAGTTTAGGAAATTTCTATTTTGGAAATGCAAAATTATGTACCTCTTTTACATTATTAAACTAACTATCAACTTATATTTAGTTTTCAGATCAAACTCACATCTAACAATAGAGAGAATGCATGGAAATATTGTTTCTAAATTAGATTCATAGGATTTAGCTTTTTAAGAAAAATGTTTACTTTTTTACCTGCTAAAATTTAATTTGGACATTTCAGTCTTGCTTGTATTTCTCACTAACTCAAGAAAATTCTCCAAGGTAAACCATTGAAGTGGGAGAGTGGAGAGGTTTACAGTTGGAACCCACATCTAAATATATCTATGTGTCAGGGATTAGGAGGCGGTTTGATTTGAAGCTTAATGAAAGGGTAGCACAGTGACTTGGCAGCTTGCTTATCTGTCGAGCACTCCACCCGGTGAAACCCGTTCCTCCTCCTTGGCGTGATTGACAGTGGAAGACCTAGGTCAGGCTGAGCCCCATAGCCCATGATTGTGTGTCCTGTTCTGATCTTTCAGCTTTGTCTTTTAAAATAATGAAATAATCATATAGGTGAATTCAGTGGAAACCACAAAGCAGCCTTTTCACTCGATAACAGGGAGGAAAATAATAAGTGCACCTTAAGATAAAATAAATAATCTGCTTGACACACAACAGAAGAAAGCAACACAGTCTGAGAGGATAGTGTGGCCACAAGAGCCTCAGGAGATGGGAATCTACAAGGCTCCTGTGCCCAGGTTTTATACTGAAAATCAGAAGTTGTGCTTCAGTGTACCAAAGTAATTGAAAGGTTCTAAACCTTGGTCATCAGCCAGGATACTCTCTTAGTGGGTGAACTGATGCATTCATTCATTCATTCATTCATTCCCTCTCACACTGCACCTGTTCTGCAGCATTGTATCAGTAAATTCTATACATTCTATAAATGTCCAGCATAGGACGTACTTACTAAAGGATTGGAAGAGAACCAGAGAGGAAATGGGGATGGAGGAAGCCCAGCTGACGTAGTACAGAACCACAGATAGGACTGGGGCAGCCGTCCCAGAGCCCTCACCATCTCTGCACGTCGCCTCCCCTCCACAGTAGGATGATGGCTCACACCTCGGGCTTGGGTCTCCACGGCATTCAGGTCACACTAAGTGCACTGCATCAGAATATCCTTTTGGGAAGATACTTTCAGAACTGGATCGCAGCTCATCTTGCCACAAAGGATAAAGGCTCTTTTCAAATAAGTTATTTATCTCATCTCAAGTTTAGATAATTGGGTGCTAATACTGCTGCAATAGCACATAACTTTATCCTTAACTGAGAAAAACATGGCAAAAGCAAATGTAGTGATTTGTGTTTGATGAACTGCCGACTTAGCTGTTAGAGACCATATTTATTCACTGGTATTTGTAGTTGTTCCCATTTAGTAACTAAGCCTGTGCAATTTGCTTTGTTTGCAAAGTAATGTAAAGCTCAGTGTTTGGCATAAATATACCAATGTTTTTATGTTATACTGGGCAAGTATCTGTGACAGCCTATGTCGTCTGCCCCTTTCTCTAACTTTCTTTTTGATTATAGGCCAAGAAAGAAGAGAGACTCTCACCATAACAACATTGCAAAGAGATACATTGCCAGAGCTTGGAATACTTCTTAGGCAAACATCTCTCCAAGGTAAATAACGCAATTGTACCAGTCTGGGGCACAACGTTAAAATTTTCAGACGGCAGTGGTATAGCACAAGGGCTTGATTGTTTAGTCTAATACAGACCTGGGGTAAGGAGAGGGAGAAGAAAATAAGGCAGAGCTGTTGGAGTGGCCGGCAGCCCCTGCTAAATGTGTTACCAGGAGAATGCCTTCAGCATCTGGGAGCTTGCTGAGCTGTCCTGCAAATGTGTGGGACAAGGAAGAGAAAGGGGCGCAGCGCTTTCTTTTTTTCTGGTTATAGGCATTCGTGGAAACAGAAGCCAGTGTGGTTGGGCTATAAAAATATTGCTTTTGTGAGGAATGAGTTAGGTAATTCCTTTTGAAGGGTAAATAAAATATATGCTGTATTCTTGTCACAAGGGGGGAAAAGATGAATCATCGTATCTTGCAGCAGCTAAGACTTACAGAGAAGAGTGATTTTAAGGAGAGCCCTGTTCTTCTATGAAAATAAGCTTCTCATTGGCTCATGAGAAATACATTATGCAGTTCTTGTTTTGGAAAATCAGATCCTTAGTATTTCTTGTGGAATGAGGACGGGTGAGACAGACAGACTGACCCTGATACCAAAGACAAATCTCTCAGCATCATGTCATATGTTTCAGAGGAGTGGCTCAAGGTTCTTCCTTTATGAATCATGAGTTTAGTGGGAATCAAGGCTTGAAACAGAAGCAGCTGAGTTGATAGACAGCTTTTGCGATCATGAATTAGCTGCCAATATTTTAACATAAACTGAAGTTCCTCTGTTGATGCTCAGTTTGTTGTGATAAGCTGCTTTTCTAGGCCCTGAAATTTTTATCTGATGTATCGTCTCCTTCTTTCCTTATAAAGATAGTGTGTGCCTACATACACAGACATGAAAAATATGCGATCCAGTTTACAAGAAAATATACTTTCTCTCCTTGGAAGTTAATACATGGTTGACATTAGCCATTCGTGTGCTAGAAGGCAGTTTGAGATTGGCAGTGGGAGAGTCAGGTTTTCTTCCTCAGCCCTCGTTTTTCTCCTCTGAGAGGTTTAGGGTGGGGGAAATGTAGGCTGTACATTAGAAGAGAATTTTGTGATACTATTCATTCTCTGTTCTGACAGAGAGGACATTGTTTGCTCACTGTAATAGGCCTAGCGGGAATCTGTGCTGTGCATACAGAGTGGGAAAATAGCCCAGCAGTGGGAAATCTCAAAATTCTAAAGAAGGGATCAGCTTAGGAGGTTTTTGTTTTTAAATATATTTTAATGGTGTCCCATTATTGAGATGCAAGTCACAACTTGGGGAAATAGTTTTCTTGCCAGTGATTTCTTTCTCCTCGTTGTAGTACAGATGCACTATGAAAACAAGGCCTTAAGGGAGGAATATGCCCAGCTAAACCCTGTGCTATTAAGAATTACAGACACAGAAATTCAGAAATGCTTTATGAAGTACCAGACCTGCTTTATTTTGCTCCCTGGGTAGTCACTCTGCTGTTGGTGTAAATGGATACTAACCAGTGCCCGTCACTGGAGTCACAGAAGCAAGTGTGCACTGCCCAAGATGACAGACACACTTAAAGATACACGCTGATGCAAGAGGCGCACTCATGGGACACTGTGAGAGGGCCCTGTGCCCACCAAGCCCAGAACTCTGAAAACAGTAACCAAACTGCAGAAGCCGAGGTTAAGGGCACTGTGCAGCCCTCTGGCCAAGCCTGATGCTGCTGCTGCTGCTGCTGCTGCTTGCGGTTGTGTGTCCCCACGTCTGTCTGAGGAACTTGGGAAGCTCACGGCACAGTGTGGTCTCTGAGAGCCCCAGGACTCTGTGTGTGTGTGTGGTGTGTGGTGTGTGTGTGTGTGTGTGTGTGTGTGTGTGTGTGTGGTCTGTGTGTCTGAGTCCTTCACACTTCTTGATTAGCCGACAACATGGTCAAATGAAGTACAATATGTATTAACTGGAAAGACTTGCTTAATTAAAATTGCAGTCTCAATTTTTACATCTTGTCTCATTTTATAATTGAATACAAAAATTATTGTAGGTTGCTTTTCATCTGAAATTCAGGATATCCAAAACATTAGTTAATAAACACAACTTCTGTCTCTCTTGGTGTTGTGGCATATTGAAAATAACTTGAAACTTACATAATTAGCCCTCAAACTATCATGTCATTTCCAGATTGTCTACAAACATGCATTTCATTTTAAAATGAACTAAAGTAAATTAAATAGCACATCTTAAATAAGTCAAAATATGAGTAAAGTTTGTATGTAAATGAACATGATAATATATTTAATAATAATTTACTCCTGGGGCTGGAAACAGCTCAGTGGCATAAGTGCCTGCCTGGAAAGTGCAAGGTCCAGAGTTCTATCCCTGGTACCACAAACACACACACATAAAAAAATTACCCCAAATCAAATAGTTTTACTTAAGTCATTTCTTATATATTTCAAAGTCTTACCCAGGAGATACTTTAATTACTTTAACCTATGGAGACCTGCAGAAATTTAACTCTGCAAGTCAAAACAGAAGACACCTTTGAGGCAGCCAAGAAAAGACGTTGCCACATTTGTATTCAGCGGAAAGGGAATCTTGCTATTCAGGAATACCTGGCTCTAAATCTGAGCCCTCGTGAGTTGCAGAAGGGAACTCGAAAGCAGCAGGACTGTCAGCTGTTTGGAAGATGTCTTGAAGCCATTCTCTTCCTGCCTGGCTATGTCCCTGTCACAGATCTCTTGTAGTTTCCCCCAGTGACACCCTCTTCAAAGGACTGCTAGCCCTAAACATCTTACACAGATCTCTACGCTGCTGGTGCTGCCTCTACTTTTTGCCAGGTATATACATACCTGGAGATAGATCTATACTGTTTTAAAGTGTCAGCCATATCAATGACATTTTCTCATGTATTGTTCTTTTGATAACAAAAGCAGACTTCTTTCTTAAGAAGGCCTATTCTTCTTAGCCTGTTAAAATTTCTTAGAGTTTACTTTTAATTTCCTCTCACTTTTGGCTACTGGGATATTATTTATATTGTCCTGTTTGGTGAGTTAATCATTCTCAAATTCTGATTTTATTACTCATTTATTACAGCAAGTAATTTGACATCTTTTACATCTATTATTACATTTAAATGCAGTTAATTAAATTAAAAATGAGTTAGATCAGCATCAGCATTTCCCAACAATATTGATGCTGCGTGGCTGTTTTGTTAATTTAAAAACCTGTCTTCAGAGTATCTACTGTTCTGCAAAACTTCAGTAGATGTCTAAAGAAGCATTTCAGTGAGAATGATCTAAACAAAAAGAAACTGTACACAGAAAATACTGTTCATGTTTCGTTAATTGAAGTTAGGTATACCATTGCTCTGAATTGTAACTAGCTTTCACTTTCAAACTTTGGGAGAACAAGTCATTTGTACTAGAAAAGTAGATGCTGAAGAGCTGTGTTCAGCAATTGGACAACATTTTTAGCATTTGAATCTCTCTATTTATAGTACAGCATCAGGCAGAGTAAAATGTTTGGCATTTCTATAAGAGATACAAACGCTTTAACATTCTCTGTTGTGATCTAACAATTCATTTCAGAGTAAGATGAATCAGTCTTGTTTGGAAAATGTTTTACATAAATATTGGCAAGAAAGCAATCACTGAATCTCTATGAGTTTTTAAAAACACAAACTTCCCTAAAGTAAATGATGGCAAATTGCACGATATTACTGTGGTCTTATGTGAGCTGCTTGTTATTACCTTAAATTTTTACACTACTCTGCCCTATCCCATGTTCTTTTAGATTCTGATAGTCTGTATTGAAATCTCCTTTCAATTGTCACATTCTTTTTGCTAAACTTTCTCTTATCTACAGTGTGTTTCTCATAATTAAAATTCCAGATTACCTCATTAACATATGCCCCTTTCTTTGATATTAGAGAATATGAGAATAGCAATTTGTAAGATTTTGCTCTTAATTAGCTGAAAAATCTCTCTTTCTTTCTCTCTCTCCCCCTCTCCCCCTCTCCCTCCCTCCCCCTCCCCCTCTCCCTCTCTCTCTCTCTCTCTCTCTCTCTCTGTCTCTCTCTCTCCCTCTCTCCGTAAAAATAGAACAAACTAAATGTAATACAGGATCCTGGAACAAAAGAAGGACATTAGGTACAAACTAAGGAAATTTGAATTAGGTATGGACTAGAGAAAGGAATGATGTATGTGTATTAGTTCACTAATTATAACATGCTTCTATAAGCTCTCAATAATAGATAGAAAACAATATAGGAAATACATTTATAAATATTGTATTAAATGGCTATCAATGACTTCAACATGTTTTGTAGTAACAGTGTAGTAGAATGTGACGATTTCTCATTGTCAAATCCTCTATGGGACATACCCACCTATAACAGAGGTTGGTAAAACATCAGCGTTTGATGGAAGCTGGAAAGCATATCCAGCTCTGCCCCCTGGTTTTGTAGGGCTGGAGCAGGCTTCTCCCTTTTCTTCCATATGCCTCAGAGAAAGGAGAAGATGCAGACACCACATCCTGGGCTAGATGCAGATTCCCAGCCATTCAGTGCCAGGGGCATTGAGTTACCTGGGCAACCTCTCTGGATCTCATGTCCCCTGTGTATGACATCAACAGGGCAAACTAGATTTTTCTCCAGTGGAGCCTCTGCCTTAGAAAAGTGTGACTCTGATTCGTTGCACATCTATTTGTGATTGCAGCTACAGAAGTTATTGGTAATGAATTTTGGCATTAAAGCAATTTTGTATTATTATATCTTTTATAAAAAGATTATCATTGTTTCAAAACTTCTGAATGCACCAAAAACTAATTAAACAATTATTAAAAATAATTCCCATGTAAGAATTGCTATATAAGAATCATTTATGTACTAGGAAGATGAAACTACTGTTTGAAAGACCCATGTTGAATCTGAATTCAAAAATCATACTAGAATACTAAATTGTACCTTAATTTATGGTTGTATTTTTGTGCATGTGATAGTGTATAT